ACTTCCACAGGTGAGTATACACAGGACTGATGAGGTGTCAGACCACTGGCTTCTCAGCTGCCTTGTTCTTCCCTACATTTGGTCATCGCTCACTGGACATAACATGATAGCCACATGTGATGTGGTGCAATATAACTACAAAACAGGATGCAGAGAAATTAACAGGACTTTTTGTAGATAAACCATGACATCAGCCTATCTCTTAAGTGCACTGTGTTGCTCTCCTGGAGAACTCATCTCGTAATGGGTGGTAAATCAGGGACAATTAAGCAAAGTGGTACTCTGCAAATACCAAAACAATGACTGCAGAGATTATAAGCAGGATATATTTAAGTAAATCAGTGTTCCAGTGTACAAGGAGATGAAGTCTGAGTAAGACCTTTTACCAGGTCCTATAATCCTGTTTTACAAATAATTGAGGAACTTCTGGGGGTCATGAACTTTAGACATCTTCTTTCCAAATAATTAGGGATTAAGTTATACTAAAGAAATCCTTCTCAAAACAAATATAAAGCCAGAAAAAACTTTTGTTTTGCTAATTAGGTTGCCATCATCATTCTGATGAAGAGACCTGAGAGAGTGTAGGAGGTAGAACAGGGGGCACTGTAACACAGACAGATTGAATGGAAGTGTTAACAGACTCACTGGCTTCATCCAGAATCCCACACAGGTCTTAATCCAAAATACATCAGGAACATTTTAAAACACATTTTATGCCTTTCAGTGACTCACAGTGTGACCCTGCATATCGCTTGGCCTGTCTCTTGCTTTTTGTCACTGTCCCTACAAGTACCAACGCTGCTTTTGTAAATTCTCCGGACATGTGTGGGAAACAGTTCTGTGGAAAACCTTCTCCCTTTACTATCTCCAGGACACACCACCACCATTTAAATCAAGGTTTGGGCCCCAGAGACTGCCCCTTTTTTTTGTGCCTGAGCCTCAGCTGACACATTCAAGCTCCATGCAGAATATATAAGCATCTGTGGCAATGCCCTGCTCTGTGTGATCCTGGCAGTGGCAGCCAGGAGCAGAGGAAGGGATGTGCCCTGCTTGAGCAGGCACTTCTGTCACGTTTGTTGTGGAGACAAGTAGGAGGGTATTTTTAACAGGAGACACTTCCTCTGTTGGTCTGGTAAAGCCCAAGGCTGGCGACCTTGCAGGCACAGTGCAAACCCCATCTGTTTCCCGAGGAGATGAAGGGTATTTAAGCATTGCAGGTGATGACATTTTTTTTGTTTCATTCTTTGGGACCGTTTATTTTGTTGTTTCTAAACTGAGTATGTGCAATCTTTTGTTTTCCAGTGAATTGTCCATGACATTTTGAAAGATTTTACAAAACAAAATCCCAACAACCATGTAGGTGAAACACCCACAATGTGCAACTGTAATTAAGAAAGGCAACAAAAAATTGATTTATTGCATCATTTCCCTCTAGAAAAAAAATTAATGAAACCAAATCACAAATAAATGAGAACCCTTGGGGAAACTTGCCCTCTCTTTACTCTCTGAAAATGGAGCAATTAACGAAGCAGGCATTTTTTAGTAGGTAAGGGGGTAACTGCTTATAATCAAGGCCACATGTTCTATTTTCAAGGGCCTTGGGAGCTCTGTCACATTAGGTGAAACTGTCAGCATCCCTTTAGTGGAGCAAATCAAGACGATGTTTTCCTATGCTGACCTGAAACAATGCAGTCAAGAGTACTGCAAATCCACCCCCATTTTAAAAACAAAATGAGTGAACTACCTATGAGAATGAGATAAACCTCAACAGAAAACATCCCCAAGTAGCATGGACTCATCTCTGCCTCAGCCTGCCTGCAAGAGCTGCAAGAGAACTTGTGCAAGACATCATGGACCCTGAGGGTCCTCTGTGTTTGAGGTAATGTTGGGAATTTGTTAATCAATTAAAACAAACAGCAGAAAAGCACTACTTATATCAAGTCATGCATAAAAAATCCAGCACACAAGTGTAAATCTGCAAATTTTTAAAATCCAAACACACTAAGGACCTTAGTGCCAGCACCATGTGAGCTAAATGTAATGCAAAGGAGTCAGACATAACTTCTGCCAGCTTTCTAAGACATTTCAGGAATTTCTGAAGAATACATAGGCAGACCGAAAATAGCATCAAAAATCTGTGGCATGTGGCATGTTTCACTGCTTAGGTAGAAGAAGGAATCACAGTAATAATGAAGGTGGTAATTCTTATGATGTGCATTCTGAAGAAAAAAGGTGCTTCAGTTTCAGAGATACCACCTGTCTGGAACCTTTTCAAACTCGCAGGTGACAAAGAGGGCACTGGCTGGCACTTTGAGACACTCAAGCAGCTGGTGCCACCTGAGCCAGCCCCCGGGGACTATCAGGTATCTGTGAATGGCACATGCCCTCCTCCAGTGACTGATGAAAACCACAAAACTTTGAGGACCTCAAATCTGCTGAACACTAACTCCTGAGCAGCTGAAGTGAGTGATTAACTGGACCAAAATTCTGGGCTTTCTGGATGCTAGAAGCAGGAGGGTACCTTCAGATACATAATGTGAATTAGGAGTGAGTTTTAATTGGATGCCCTTGAGCACAGTGTGTAGTTTGGAGTTTTTTTCTGTTCCTGTTTTTTTTTTCTGAAACTTGTGCATTAAATCATTCTTCAGAGGTTCTTAATGTTTTGGGAAAAAATAAATGTTCAGGCTACACACAGCTTTAATGAAGAAAAATTTTCTTCATTAAAGTTTAGCTTTTCTAGTAATATGCAGAGTACTTGTGTATCTGGCTAACATCAAGTCAGTCTCCTACACAGACACCACAAGTAAAGACAAGTGAGAGCTGCTATCAGCTAGACTATCATCTCAGCTGCACTCCTCCCTTCAGAAAACAAAATAATTTATTTCTAAAGGCATGCCTCCCTGACACTTCTGAGCAACACTTCTTGCTCTGCACAAATCTGGTTGTTGTGACAACAGGTATCCAGAAGATACTGCAGGTTTTCATGGGTAGTGGCTATATGTAGCTTTTAAGCCTATTTTCAAATAGTATACTGACAAAAGAACAACATTTGCCAAAGGGTCCAGAGCACCACAGTAGCCCCAAGTACAAGTAGCCTGGAGCAGGGCTGGAGCACATCACGGACATGGCATGGCCCTGCCCTGCAGGAGCCCTGCCTGCTCATGAGGGTCTCTGCCAAGCACTGCCAGGCCCTTGGAGCAGGGAAATGAACCTCTCAGCCACTGCAGCACCAATGTGCCTACCCTGGGCCAGCACAGACATTTAAGTCCAATCAAAGAGCAGTGCAAAATGCATAATATACTGAATTTTCAGATCTGATCCAGGCATAGAGATTCAAGCTAATGTCCCTTATGAACCTCTCTAGAAGTCAATGCTTATGCACAGCAGATGTGAATTTGATTCCAAGCTCTAATGACAGAAACCCATGTTCTAGAGACATCTTGGCAGGCCTCTGCAGAACAAGCAGCTTCCAAGGCAAAGTGCTTTCCCTGGAGTACTGCAGTAATAAGCACAGCATGAGGATGATTCCACCCTTATTAACAGAGCTAAACACTTTATCTTTTCTGACCAAAGGATGCAGCTGCTAGCATCCAAAGATAAACAAGATACCAGGAAGCACACGTGTGCCTGAGGCAGCAGGAGTTGACCCTGGAGGATCCATGGGCCAAGGAACTCCAGAGTACACTGCACAAGGTTTTCACAAACATTTACTTCAGAAGTCAAACTTATGAGCTCAGCAGCCATAGCAAACTACAGGCAAACTGTTCAAGTAACTGAATTTATGACAGAGGGACAAAAGGAATGGAAACTTCCATATTAGAGTCAATGAGAAAAGGGATTCCACAACAGAGAGGCAGTTCAGAAATAAATCTTTATCAGGTTTACCTGGTGGATCACTAAGCATGTTGTTTGTGTTTTTGCAGCATGCAAACTTTCCTTGCAGAGCTCACAGTCCTACCTGAATAATTGCTGCTCATTTTCACTAGTTAATTAGAGATGGTTTGCAATTGAGAGAGTGAGAAAAGGAAAAAAAAGGCACTTAAACTTAAAAGTACTGACACGCATTTGTATAGAAAAAGTTTGGAACATTAATGATATAGCTCAGTTAGTCCCCATACCCTGCTGGCTTTGGCTGTGTTTCCTACACTGTTTCTCTTTGTGACATTGGGTTTTTTGCTGTTAGAAGATGTGATTTGTGTGATTCCCAATATGCTCTATGTTGTCGTGGTTGGGATTCTCACATACAAGCTATGAATTTGGGTGTGATGAGGAGAAATAGCCCCTTAAAGTCAGCCTACAGAGACACTGGTAGTGGCAGAGAATTGCCTCAGTTGCTGCTGAAGAAGCCCAGCAGCAACTGGACCAACACTTACTGCAGTGTGCATGGTCTATATTGCTACACAAATGTAAATATAATATTTAACAATTTGATATGTTGGCAGGTTCACCTCATATTTTTGCTATGCAGCTTCTGATCAAAAAGGGGTGCTTATTCCCTTATATAATTATTTTCATGACTGCGTTTATTAGTTAAGAGTCTTACTCCTCAGAAAACTGTACAAGTTTGATTTGATCTCTCTGAGTTGCTGAAATTATAAATGTAATATATAAGGTTCAGCTTCAAAGAATAGAAAAAATGAACAATAGACTTGTGTCTCTCATTTCTCCCCTTGATATTCAATTATTAGTACTGCATGAAGCCAGCACAAAATTCAGAAAGTAGTGATCCAAAAATACCTGTCAGTGACCTCCAGAGCAAAGAAATGGCACAAGAGTGATGCTGCCTGGGTCTTTTCAGCTCTTTGCTCATGGCTGGTCTTTCACAGGGTGCTTGCAGCATGCTCCTCAGTCAGGACTGAGCGGTGTCAGAATGGAGGTGACTGTGCCTGGAGAGCAACTCTTTCCACCAGCAGGCCTCCACAGCTGCCCCAGATACACTTTATTTGCAGATACACTTCATTTTTGTTCGGCTTTAATGACAAAAAGGTATCTGTACTCACTGAATGTGCGGATGACGTCGCTTGGCGCACTGGCGGCGCTGGATCCAAAGGAGTTTGCTGCTCGGATGGCAAACTGATACTTGGTGTTTGGGAGAAGTCCTTTGAGAACCATGGACTCCATCTGGATCTGCTCTCTTATTACCGTCCAGTTGCTGTCAAGGTCTGGCCTTGAGGATCAAACAAAGACCAGATCTTGAATAATTAAAGCTGGCTGTATAAATTAGCTGCATTTATACTTTTCCAGGAAATACACTAATACATGAGACAGAAGTCTACTAAATCATCACCGAAACCCTTCACTCTTAAAGGATCAGACTGTGCAACCCATCGTTACCAAGCTGTGAAGCCTGTGATGTCAAAACTGTATAATCATACAAACACAGTTACTCAGATTTTGCTTATAAAATCAAGGAACAACTGACAAATCTAGTTAAGTTTATCTGGTTTGTGGATTTTGGATTCATAGTTTTCAGGTGAGGGTCTCTTACCCACAGTTCCCGCCTCCCTACGTGGCTATATAAAGCAATAGTTTGCAATAGAGGGAAAGGTCTTGATTTATTTCTTAAGAGTTTGTGTTCTAATGCCAATAAGTCAGTAAGTCCCTTCAAACATACACAAGCATTAGCAAGATGAGAATCCAACATTTGATCTCCCAAGTAATCAGGTTAATCCACTTACATAGGAACATACAGATCCAAAGTCTTCTCTTCAGAAAAACAAACAGACAAAAAAAAGCAACCCAAACCAAAAAAGCCCAAACAATACCACCAAAAAACCCCACACAGACAACCCACAAAACCCACAGAACAAAAATGCACAGAACATGGCCTGTGTGCCCAGACTTTGTAACAACATTCCTATAGCTGCTTTTGGACAATGCCTGGTTAACTCCCAATTCATACTGCAAGCCAGCTGCCAATAAGTACTTCTCTAGGTGCCATTATATTTCAAGTGAAACCAGTATAATCATTCACATGGCAGTTTGTTATCAAGTGTTCTAAGTTCATGCATACAGGCACATTGTAAAGGGGTGGGCAACTTCAAGTACTCTGAAGTTTTCACACCATTTCCACTCTCTCCAAAAGTGGCCTCTTCTTATCAAAGAGAGAACAAAATAAGAAGCTAAACAAATACAAACAACAGAGTAATGTAAACATTCACTCTAGGCCACCCAAAATATTAAAATTAAAGTTTATGAAAGTAAAATAAGGACAGAAATAGCTTGCAGAGAAAATTATTCCAGTGTCCTTGCAATATTTATTACAGGAAATAACCTCCAAGTGCACCCTGAATCTACCAGTGTTTACACAGGACTAGCTGCAAATGTCTCCAACAGTCTTCAAATTAAAAATTATAGCACAAGGCAGGCATTTTGTATTTGTTTATTTTCAGCTGGAAGGAAATGCCGAAGTTAATTTATGTTTTCTTTTAGTGGTCAATACAGGATTTATTGATTACTGAAGTCCATTGCTTTGTGCCAGCATGGCAAATGCAGTGGCAAAGCAGCAGTTCCCAGCTGCCTGTCTCAAGTGCACAGTGGCACACAGGACATGAGTATTTCATTGTCTCACTAAATATAAAAACAAAATCAGACAAACGTACAAGATGTAGTGATAGCTAAACAGACCATCTTAAGTCACCCTTCACCACCATTTCCTGGTAGACAGAGAGCATTTATTTTGGCTACTCTTCCATTGTTTCCCTTCTCTGAGCTTTTGATGCCTGGGCCAAAATGAAAATATATAGTGTTTCCCAAATGAAAGCTGTTAACACTGCCTCCTTCCAAAGGCTCGCTTAGTAGTGTTTTCAATTTTCCTGTACACATCATTTTTTGGTTTTAATTCCCATCCAAGGAATTCCTGCTAGCTCAAGAGCTGCCTCTTTGCAACAGACCTTGCCCGTGTGTCCGCCCAAGTGGAAACAACACACCTTTGATGAAGGGACCCAAAGGAGGCACTGCACCCTGAAAAGATTTGGAGATAACACAAACAGCAGGCTAGGCTTCAAACACACTGACTGTCCCTCCCAACATTTCCTTCTGCAGAAGTTTATAATAAAGGAAATGCCTGCAAACATGTAAGGATCTGCAGCTGAAGGAGAGGGAAAGAGGGAGATTTATCACTTGACCTTTGCTACTTCTCCAGAATGCTCCGTGTGTGAACAAAACAGTATGAGATGAAAACATGGCAAACAGATGGGGAAGGGAACACAAATTCAGCTGGTGAGTGCATCCAGGGCAAGCCAGCTCCCATGTTCCCTGAGATGGGAACATTTTGTTGAAAACTGTCTTCATGTTCCTTTTCTTTATGTTTTATTTCAATGTGTTGTCAACTTTTACACTGGAAGGGCTCATTCTGATACCACTTTTCCCATTTTTCTGCAGCAGTACATTCCCCAACACAAGGGACAGCACCTTGCAGGGCAGCTCCAAGCACTGTATCTGTGACTGGGGAAATCAGACACCTTCCATGGACATTGCCTGCTCTTGATGCAGCTCTGCATCTCCAACACATAAATGATATGCAGGAAAAAAATCTGACACAAGTCATGGTGGTTTTAAGATAATAAATATATGGCTAAAGCAAATAAGACTGGATGGGTATAAACCAAGGGCAGAATTCCATGACAAATGTACCCAAAATTTTGGATTATTGCTTTATGTTGTAACTTGGGAACTGATTCAATCCAAGAAGGTAATTCTTTCTGATGCAGAGAGCAGCAATTTTATAGTCACTTGAACTTCCTTTTAAAATCACCTGGAAATTATTTAAGTGTGAGGCACCCCCTAGCAATCCAATTTTTCTAACGTTTCTGATTGTTCTTCCATGCTGTATTTGTACTCATCTCAAGGGGAAAATTCATCTTATAGTGGTTTTAAAAAGTATTCCAGCAAATAATAAATATGATGACAAGTACAATACATCATCATTTGCGATGGAAAAATGTCTTGTATAATATACTGCACTATAACATATTATTTTTAGTAACTATTATTATTTCACATTACTGTGACACTTTGTGAAAAATAGATCAACTGATATGCCAGGCCATCTGTGAGGAAAGGAAAAGTGAACAATTTTGGTAACTTTTTTTCCTGTTAGATATTCTTCTGATACAATATAATATTGTTAAGCACTTCCTCCCTAATATCTTTCACTCCTCCTTCTTCATCAGTTACCTTCTCCTTCAAGGAGTTAATCTCACAAGCAGTGAGCTATATTCTGAGTCAAATATGCCTGTTTCATCCAATAATCAGGGAAACAGTATTAAAAGTATTTTTTCCTAGACACTGGGAGGTGTCTCCCCGGTCAGATCTGTTGTTTCAGGTTCTTTGCAAACAAAAGCAAACAATGACTGTCTGGTTCAGTGCAGTGCCAGAGACAGTTCAGCAGGGAATGGATTCAGGGGTAGAATTTTCTGGGAGGGAGAGGGAAGGCTTCAAACTAATCAAGAAATCTGTGCACAACACTATGCTGAATCTGCACCACCCTAACATCTGAATACTAATAAATCTCCCAGTTTTATCAGCAGAACCTGACTAGTTCATTGCAGCAGAAGTTTCATGTCACTACCAAGATACTGAAAAATTTCCTTTGCATGCCAAGATTAATATTAAAAGCTTTTGATTTCATCTACATACCAATGAGATGAAAAGAAAGTGACCTGATTGTTTTAGGGCATGTGCTGCTAAACACTTGTGGTTCTGTAGCTGCTATGTGGCTATAAAAATTCAGGTAAGTTAATCACCAAGTTTAAAAGATCATGTAGGCATTTAACTGATTAAAAATTTGAGTATTTGAGTGAAAATATCCAAGACATTTTTAAGAATTAATTTTGCATAGCATCTTTAGGAAAAACACCTAAGCTCATATGCTTAAGTCTGGGGTCTCACTTTAGAGACTTCCATAATAATGTAATTTTTCATTAAATACTTTTCACCATTAACCAATAGAATATTTACACTGAGCCTAAAAAGTCGCACAGACATATATATATATATATATCTGTTTTATTCCCTTATAACTATCCAGTGAAGAATGAATCCTACAGTCTCCCTCCAGGCTTCCAGCATTTAGACAAGTGGGATTGTGATCTCTGTTAGTCAGCAGCACAGTAGAGTCTGAATTAGCTCAGCTCATCTTTTACCTGAAGCTGTCTGCTACCCTCCACTGCCTGTACTGAACCAACTACTTCCTTGGGTGCCAAGGGAAGTCCCTTAGGCAAGAGCTTAAATAAAGCACCATATCAGCTAGCTCTGGTTCTGATTAGATTCCTGTATCTCAAAACAATTAATATACTGAGTTTTCATGAATGCAATGAATTTCACCAGTATCATAGCTGAGCAATTGAGAGGAGTGCTTTGTCCTAGCATGTTTTTCCTATGGTTAAAATCATAAAGTTAATTCTAAGGAGATGAAAATTGCTTAAATAATGTCAGAGTGTTTAGGCATTTGTGCAGTGCCCAAGAAAAAGTACAGATTTGCATTAGAAAGTTATTAATTTTGCAAAATCACAGGATAATGGTGTATTTCTTTGACATTAGAGGACCTAATTCTAATTTACTTGAACTGATTTGTTTTAGTCTTACAATGGTAAGACTAAATTTACTGGCTTTAATTTACTGGCTTTAACTCATGATAATACATTTTATAGTAATTAAAACTATATGCAGCAAAAGACAACGAAGCTTAAAGTTAAATGTTTACCTTTAGCTGCCATTAGGGCTTATGGCTCATTGAACTTACTCCAAATATACAACCAAGTTTCCAAGGCTAAGAGAGCATAATCCCAAGATTAACAAAGGCACTTTCAACTTAGCTTTAAACCTCAAACTAAACAATGTAATCAAAACATTTTGCTGTTAGCAAATTCTTTCCCAAAGTCTAAAGCCAATGAAACACTGAAATTTCAATCACTTGCATCTTTTGACCTAAACAGCAGCTTTCCACTCCCTGGCTGAACAAAAACATTCAAGGGTGCACTTTTGGTGTGTCAGATAGAGATGATGGTGCCCACTTCTTCCATTAGCAGGCTCCTGGTGCTATGAAGAAGTTTACATAAGCCTCCAGGTTCCACTGTGCAGTAAATGAGAAGGCAACAAAATCCCTTCTCCATCAACTGAGTAAATGAGAGAGAATAGATGGAGAGAGAGCAAAAAGCTCAGATAAAAATTGTGTTCAAAAATAGATATTGAAGAAATTTCACTGTAGATCTACAGCAGACATTACACAAAGGAGATAAGGATCTTCAGCTCTCATGTCCTGCCTCGCAGTGCACTGAATATTGGATGGCCTCCAGCTAAATGTGGGGGCTTTCAGCCCAACAAAGTGCACCAGTTAACAAGTAGGTTTTCGGTCTGGGTATTCTTTTTGCTATATCAATATCTTTTTGCTATTCTTTTTGCTATATCAATATCTTCTAGATTGTACCCATACTTTGAAAATCAAGTTCTTCCTGTGTGTTCTAACAACAACAATTCTTTTTAAAAAATTACTATGTTTTCCTTAAGAACAATTTTTTTTGACCTTTTACACATTTGAGTAGTTTAAGAATCAATTCTCTCTTTTCCAGGAACCTCAACTACAACCTCTAATCAAGTATTTGCTCAAAGGATTAAAAGGGTGAATTTTACATTCACTGTAAGGGTAAACACGAAGACAAATAAATAGATTTGTATGCAGATATTAGCTCACACACGCATATGAACAGTCAAGTACAAATACTTGTTCATGCTTGCAGATACAATCACCTCCTCCTGGCCCTTTTTATGCAGTTTATAAAACCAATTTGACTGGAAACTTCTGACAGTTCAGTTCTATTGTTGAGAATTTTAAGAGTTCATCATAAAAGAACAAAAAAAGCACTGCACCAACACCCCACTTTTCCCCCAGATCTAAACAGAGAGATCAACTTTTCATGTAAACTTGATTAGCATTAGCATAACAAAGCAAGTCTAAATTCTGCAAAATCAAGACAAAACAACTTCATGTTCAAGAGGTGTCTGGGTCTGGCACTGAATTATGTGATTTATTCCTTTAGGGGCTACAGTGTTGGGTTGATGATTGGGCTGGATGATCCCTTCCAAAACTGATATTTCTATGATATTATAACTTTGTCAGGTAAAACTGTCAAACACACTGAATTTCCAGTCCTCAGATTATTTTCTAAAGCAGCCCAGGGAAACCACTCTGCCAAACATCCTTTTCTCAGCATGATTTGACAGCATTTGATAACAGGAGAAACTTAAACTTCATTAATCCAGGCCGCTGTGAGAGGAAACAGATCAAATCAGACCTTATTTTTTTTTCCATCAGAAAGTACAACTTATTGGTGATTTTATAACAAATTGGATCCTTTCTGGTTTTGTCTTTAAATTTCCATGGTAATTCAACACACACTGAGAGGAAAACTAAGCATACAATACAAAGTAAATAAATCATATCTATATGCAGTTGAACAGCGCAGTTGAGGTTAAAAAAAACCCCAAAACACTATAGTGCTCAAACACTGAAATTCAGACTCCACTAGCAAACTTGCCTGATAAACTCCACCATGTAGTACTGGATGGGAGAACTTCCTTCACTCACTCCAGGCTTCCAGGACAACGCAACTTCTGAATCAGAAACCACCACGATCTGGGGCTGATAGGGTGGCCCAGGAGGCATGCACTTATCTAAGAAGAAGTGCAAAGGAGCAGCATTAGAGAAGCAGCTGGGTTGCTGCACACAACACCCAACACACACTGACTTAGCAATCAAATTCATAGGCTTCTCCCCTCACGCAATTGCCCCTCTAAAACCCTACATGTGTGGAAAAGTACCAGTGAAATACCATGATGCTGCACACGACAGAGGTCAAGTGTGCGTGCTACAGGCATGTGCCCTGCCAGCTGTGCAGCAGAGCCCTGCAGACAGAGTTACCTTGGGGTAAAGTTGTCACCTCCCTGGGCATGCTGGGCCGTCCTTTCCCTGCCCAGCTGTACGCTCCAACGCTAACGCGGTGCGCAGTGCCCGGCTTCAGGTCACCAATAACAACATCCTGCCAAGTCAAGAGCAGAAAAGCACGTTGTGACAGCACTTCTGTGTGTGCTGTGAGCTGGGACCCAGGGGTCTTTCATGGTGTTTTCCCTGTACTCTCCATGGGAGATTGTCCCCTGCCCAGTACAGCTCAGAAACAACAAACACAAATAGAATCATGTTTCCTCTCAAGCTGCAGCTTCGCCCCAGGGAAATCCACAAGGTCGACCTGGACCCATTTCTCAGCATAACTCATAAGGTTGCAGATATTTGCATTTTATATCCAATGCATGGTGAAGTCAAAGGCACATATTATTTCCTCTGTTGAGCCAACTGCTAGCATTTGGTATCAGTCTGGTGTGTTTTCCTCTTTTTTTTTTCTTGTTTGTTTTTATTTCTCTTTTAAATTCAGAGGCCATAAAACCTCCTGAGAGCGAAGCAATTTGATGCAGTGTGAACTGATGATCCTTAATTTCTCACGGAGCAGAGCCCTATCCCATCATCTCTCACAATTTTATGAGCTCAGCTAACAGCCTTGACCTGAAGCAAGCATTTCCCTTATTTGTCCTTCTGCCATAAACACAAAAAGATTAACCCACAGACAACTACCGTAAAGGAGACAGCACTCAGCTCCATGTGGAGAGCTTGGGCTGATGAATACTCTTCAGAGGAGCCTGTTCAAATCTCCCAGAAAATAGAAAACATCACCAAAACATTACATTTCATCACTGACTGCTTCACATCACATGGATCGGCATCAGACATTTAGATCTGATCTTTAATGGAGAGTACATACATGTGTACAGCAACTGAGTATTCTTTACCTGCAGCCTACCTGGAATGTCTATGTTAATCCCAGACTTATGAATTTTGACAGCATATACAAGGAAAGAGAAATATCAGGTTCTATACCACAGACTGTTATGGTGTGAAAAATAAGCACTTACAAAAAACCTGTTTTACAGCTATTATTCTTCTGGGTTTCATTCTCTGATGTTAAACACATTAGTCAAAGTGTATTTGAAAATGTAGAGTTCTCACTTTTCTTCATATTGGAACAAATCTGCACTTCCAGTTGCATTAAAATAGTAAACAATCCCAAAATCTTACTAACTGCTAAATTTCCTTTTGATGGTCTTTTGGAAAAATCCACTTCCTCTCTACTCTTTGGGGAACTTACATTATTACTACAACATTGTTCAGCAACACCCTGCCATCTGTCATTTCTGTGGACCTGGTTTTGGAGGTCCAACACTGATTTCCTATTAACATGGATCACTTGACCACTATCTTGTTTTTCCATCATTCACCCTTGATCTGCTCAAATGATCTGGACAGGACTGAGATGAATCTGAGATGATAACAATGCTGGAATAGTAACTGTCCAGAGAGAGGCAGCAAGAACACTCACTCTGAAAGATTAATCTGGGTGTTTCAGTCTCATAGCTGAAGGGACTGAGGTCTTTTACAATGTGATCTGAGAAGCCAGTTGCTGAAAACCCTGTACCTCCTTCTGGTGACAGAACTGATCCCCTGCTCCTGCCTTTCTATCCTCCATGACATACATACTGTCTGTCTGCCCTTAAACTATCTGCATTTTTTTCCTGCCAGTATTCCTCTTTATTACACTTATGCTTAGGAGGAAAAATCCTTCATTTATCTGTCTTACTGTTTTCACACTATTCAGGAATAGTATGAAATAGAACTTGGCCCTTGGAGAGAGTTAGATATTCATGTATGCACCTCATATTATTACCTCCAGACTCAAGTCTACAATAAACTGAACTGAGAGAATTTCTTTGAGTTCCTGCCCAGTCAAGATCAAAGCCCTGACATCTTCTAAGGTATTCAGCAAGTTCAATGTGTGTGCCCTCAAAACCTCAGCAAGGTGTACTCATGTCTTACACTCATGGCTACCTGCCTCCTCCTGCAGTGCCCTCTCCATGAACACAGCCCTGGAACACACAGCGAGTGTCTCTGAAACCAAACATCTCATCTTCAAGGACAGGGATATCAGTGAATAAGTAAAAAGTCAGGACACCATCAATCTACCCTAACCTGTGGCAATGTCGGGGAATACCCTCCTCACACCAGGAACATTTTCAAATCAGATTCTGGAAAAGAAACACAGTTCATTGTGCCCCACTGTCCAGTAGCCTTGGAATACATAGTAATTTATTTTTTCCTTGTATTTAAAGGACAGGTCTTAAATCCAAGTTCTGTCCCTCTCAGAAGAGACAGAGAAGCCTCACAGATAACAAATTTAGGTAGTATATGGAAGAGTTATCCTCATCATTTTTGTAGTGCCCCCTCCACTCAGCTTAGCTCTATATTTTGAAGCCTGATGCCCCAAACTCAACACTCAATTACTGATGACGCTTCAATAGTCACCAGCTTCACCTTCTTGTCTTGCACAACTCTCTTGCTAAAATCCTGATAAATGACATTTGGTGTTCTCGTTACAATCTCACATTGTTGAACAGGGTGAGGCAATGTGATGCCTTTTCAGTGGCAGGGGAGCCAATTTCACACGGATTATCCCATATATCCCTCCCTGCCCTGCCACACTGCTTCCCTTTCCTACAAGTGTGTTGAAACAGTGAGGCTCAGTAAGCTGCCTCACAGAAACCAGGATTACAAATTGTTTTCCAGAGGAATGTCTGTTTTCTGTTTTGTTTTAATCCAAAAGACCATCAAACTCTGGATTACAGCACAGCTGCAGGAACTGAGCTGGTTTTAATGACACTCTCTCCCCTGGCGACAACTCCTTCCCTGAACTACTGGTCTCAGCTGGTCACTTCCCATTTTGTACTGGTATGTTTGTGATTTGACAGGGAGCAGTGCTGCTCTCCAGGGCTCTGTGCCCAGCCTAAAACCTCCCACCTTTACAGCCTACTAATTTTTATTGATTTTTCTTGTTTTTTACGTGTACTGGAGTTCCTGAATATTATGCCCCATTAGAACAACTGCTGTACTAAAAGGAACTGCATCTGCACTTCCCCTGGCTGCTGTCACTTACATATTTTCTGCTTTACGATGAAATAATATACAATAATACATTATCCACTTTGCTAACACACAGACACATAAACAGGAACATGCAGTGCAAATCAGCTCTTGCTGCTAAAGCAGTCCCACGTGGCCCAGAGAAGCCTCCAAGAAAGCAGCAGGGTCACACCAGCACCAGGAGAGGAGTGACGGAAACATGAACTATGCAGACTTAACCACAAAACTATTGCAGATTTCTGTTGAGTTTGGTATGAATACAACAGAAAGCATTTCATCGAGAACACCACTTCCTGGAGGATTAATGACAGCTGGGAGCTGATTAATCCCAGCCATTCATACTTCTCCACAAGTACCCCTCAGAAGTGTTATTTTTATCAAGCAGAAAAAAAGTGCCCAGCATGGAACCTCAGTTCTGAAATGCCATAATCCAGACTCAGCTCATCTAGGATTGAACCAGATAGTCCTGGTTCAAGTGCATCCTGAGGACTCAGCCTCCTGTAGTCCAAACAAACTGCCCTTATTTCAGACCACAGAAGCTCTGTGAGCTCCACCAACCATGTGAGATTTCTCTATTCCTAAAATAGCTCTCAGAAAACAAAAGTTTGCAAGAGGCTGTTGATGCTAAGGATTTCAGTTAAACACTGAAATTGCTGTCCTTCTCCCATCCAAACCCAAGCACCTTCTGCTTGCTTCCTGCCCACAATAAACCCAACCTGTTTACTGCTCACAGGAAGCAGACTGGACTGAGTGCAGGACTGGAAATAATCAATCTGATTAATTCACCAGCTGCAAAGCCATTAGGAGAGTTGGTATTTCTTTCAAACTTGTTTTATACCAGTAGCTAGTCTCCCACTCCTTCCTCCTGGGCCTTGCAAGGCTGGCCTCTTCCTGTGCTCCTCCTCCTCCTTGGCTCTCTCTGGACTGGCTCAGGTTTTTCCCTCTTCATCTCCTCTCCAAATGCCAGACTTTGTTCTTCCCTTCTACTGTCTGCCTGACTACTTGACTGTCCCCATAATCTCTAAATCCTCACTGCCTGGATATATCTCATTTTTTCACAAAATTTACTCCATCAAAACAAGACATCCATAGATACCTCTGGTGACTGAGAAAAATTCATTGCTAAAAAGGGAGCTACTTTGCCTATACGTATCCACCCTGTCCACCTGTGGATTTTGAGCTTTTTGAGACTACTATCTGCTACATTTTGACCAAAAAAGATCACGTGTAAGTGCTACATAGAATCAACTTTTGAGATCAACTTTTGCATGTGTCTGTGGAGAGACCGAGTCAGAAACATTCAATTTTATTTTTAATCACATCTGTGACCAAGTTTCATGTGAAGCAATACTTACAAAAATTGCTTGTCCTTCAAGTTGACCCTGGGAAAAAGCAAATAGGACTTGTTAAAAACTAAAATAATAAAAAGTGATGGCAAAAACACATAAATAATGGGTCAGGGAATTAAAACAAGACCAATGCTCCAGCATATAGCAGTCTATGTGGCTGTTAATCATCTGCATGAGTACGGGGATACAGACTTTCCTCTCCCACTGATTAAGAAGTACTACTGTTAGGATTAAGATAAAATAACAGTGCTGTTTGATCTTTCTCAGCACTACTAGCGAAACTAGTTTTTAAGAAACAAAAAAGGCAAGAAAGGAATACAGAGATAAAGATAAGAAGGGAGAAAATAATGCATGAATAAAGAAATGATATATCATGACAACAATATTGTTTTATTCACTGTGATCCCAGAATCCTGCAGAAGTCAGAACTGACAACCAGAGTGATGGAAACCTGCAGGAAATCTGAACACCCTCCTCACTATTGCTTCTAGTGAGGAAGTGGGGCAGAAAAAGGGAAGGAGGAAAGAGAAGGGGAAAATGGGAAAAAAACCCAAAGCTATAAAAGGAAAAACATAACTTTAAAAACAATGGAGAGCAATGAGAAAAAGTACTCCTTTCAAGAGCAAAATAAACACCAGCAACTGGGGGAATCTTCTACAATATGAACTTGCAGAACAGCAACTAAAGTGGCCATATTTCAGGAGGCCACAGTCTCACACAGAAATGGAAACACTCTGTGTGTTAATCACACAGCTGTGTCAGACACTGCAATACACATACAGTGATAATGCAGCTCTCTCTCACAGACTCGTGCAATTCCACCCCTTGCATGTGTGAAAATGCATGCATTTAAGATTAAAAGTTCTATTTCAGTAGATTTCCTGACAAAGGTCAGTACTAGGAAGCTGTGAGCAAGTCCCAATAGTTTTACATGATAAAACAGCAAGACAAGAAGGAGGAAAAGTGCATCACTCAAACACAAAAACACTGTGATTTCCTTCTGCTCAATATCCAGAGCAGATTTGGGACTTGGATCCTCACCACCATATTTCACAAAACTACAAGGAGACAGTTGCAAGTTTCCACTTGCATGTTCTGCTCCAGTGGTCTGATTGCTGAAAAGAAATACTCACCATGCTAATCATACCCAGACTCAGGGGAACATCGTGTGAGAGCTGTTTAACTGCTTTGTCACCTTCAACTTCTGAGTAAAAGACCTTGGGAAGAAGATATAGTCAAACCGGTTACAGCAATAGCTCAGTATTTCAGAATCGCTTAAGAATGTGTGCACCAGTGCATCACTCTCATACTGAGGACAGAATGTGAGCCCATGATCCCCTGCCTTTTCAAATGCAGGAAAAGCTGAAGTCCTTTAATACTCCTTACATATTTGCTAGAAGTTGTCAGTGTGACCAAAGGACACCATCAAACAGTGAATACACCTACCTAATGTGGAACACATTCGTAGTGCTTGTAGCACAGGCCTGAGCTGTTTCATTGTGCATCATGAGTCTGTGGTTAAATGGACAGCTGAAGAGCTGTGGGACTAGTCTGCACTATACAGACACCTTACTTCATGCAAGAAAGATGTTGACATTTCATGATTATGACATTATAAAAATTGCTCTATCATAAAATGTCTCTCCATATCTGTTGCCACTGGGGACTAATGAGACAGACAATCAGCTTTCCTGTGCACATAGACCCAGAGATGCCAGAGGGTCAAGACACTTCAGTGAAGACATTTTGGGTAGAGCACTATTGTTGCTGCTTGTCATTGGTTTTATGATCATGCCACACACCAGCTCAAGGCTTAATAAAAGAAGTGGAGCTCAGATTCTTGATCTGCATGCATGAAGAGTGACCACTGTGTATGACTTAGGCCACTTACTCCCTGCACCTCTGCTTTCACAGAGAAGGGTGCACCCAGCTACACACAGAGCCTACCTGAGGCAGCTCCTGGCTGTCAGCAAGTCTTTTTGGAGTTTTAGACTACTATATGCTAGTTCATAGCACTTTCATAACAATAAAATGAACTCTGCAGCTGGGCTACACTGGTGCCATTTACAAGACTCGTGGGATAAAGGAGCATGCGTATCAGAAATATCTATTGCAGGGATTTTTCTCTTTATCTTAGTGTACATTAATAGTAAGGTACTCAGTAGTATTCTGCTTCCCACCTTTTTACATAAAGCTGAATTTTGGGCATTTTATTTCTGGAAATTTCAAATCTGTCCACAGAAAATGCTAATAAAAAAAACTGCTATTCAGGTTTTTTTGTTGTTGAGAGGGAAAGCAACATATTCTAGTCAACATCTCGCATCTTTGGTCCTAATTTCTCACTGACACACTTCTGTTTTGGGACTGAGTTTCATTGCCATGGAATACCTGTTAAAACAATACCTAACAAAAATGAATGAATGGCATGTTAGTGCTCATTGTTTTTCTACTTGCACACTAAAATACAGTAACCAGTTTAGCCTAGCCCTTCTCTTTTGTCCTATAGGCAGAAGGTAACATGGCAGAGGCTTGATGGGGGTCAGAGACTTCCCAAAAAAACTGCTGAGTGCAACAGGAAAATCATTCAGCTTCTTTAACAGAAACTGACTTCGGAGGTAGGGGGAATAAAACAAAAGCCCTTTTGATATTTATGGCTGCAGGTGGGTTCCCAGGGACTCTATGCAGCACAGTACCTATCTAGGAAGAGATTCCATGAAACAGTCCTTTCCTTGTACCTACTGCAAGTCTGAGAAGTTTTAGAGGCTTAGTTTGAAAACATATTCCTGCTAAAGTAATCCTCAGGCTGGAAGTACAAGTCTAAGGATCTGCATGACCCTCACTTGCACAGTGCAATATCAACCTGCTCTGCTCCACTTTACTGTTTTATCAGAGAGCACTTGAAGGAAAACCACAACAAAACAGCAATCTATATCCACTGCAGGCCCTTGGCATCCAATCCAAATGCCCATCACAGCTTGTTTCGAGAACATGAGCTGCTTGTTTTTTAAGGTTACAGTTCAGTCCGCTCAAGCCCACTGTCCCCTGGCTGTTTTCTGGGCAGTGGCACTGTTTGTGAGGAGCAGGGCTGTGCTGCTGGGTTCAGAGTGTGCAGCCTGGGCCAGGCAGCAGCACAGAGCATCACTTACCGTGTACCCTGTGACGGTGCTCGTGTGCTGCTTTGGCATCTTCCATTGCACGCTGAACGCCGTGCAGTTCAGTGAATCCAGCAGAATATCCAGAGGAGGCCCCAGCCTATCTGCTAAAAACAAAACGGCATTGTGTGAGGAGCCGTAGCACAAAACCCCTCTCCTCTGGCTGCCTGGCAGGTATGTCTTTCAAGAATAGGCCTGTGCTGCTCTCACTCCAAACTGTCAGACACATACCACTACTCAAATTTGACTTGTGTGCTCCTTTTCCCTCTCCATTTCTGACTTCCAAGGTAGCAGTGGAACACCAGGAGAGGGGGTGCAAAGGGGGACATCTCTTCTTAGTGGGCAAGCTGTTGCTTAGCTTAGGACCACCCAGTGCTTCAAGCAATGCCACCGAACAACTCATAGGCTTTTACATTTGTTCGTGACATGCTGGATACTACCCAGGACCCAAAGACAGTGACATTCACACATTCATACTGCTTGTACAGTACAGTACAGCTGTGGCAGAGATTTGGACTACTGGGAAGGTCTCCCAAGAATGGTCTGAAGATAGCACCTCTCATACACCACAGGTGTAAGTCAGTATGGACATCTTTGGGGAAGCAAAATTCAACCGTGTGGAAGAGAGCCAAGCCATGCCACGTTCCCTGGGCCCTCACCCATTTTCTTCATTAGCACGGACTTAGCCCCATGGATTCCTGCTTGGCCCAGTGGCTCTGAAAACAGCATGTGCTACCTCCTATGCTCACCTTCTGCCCTGCACTCAGCAGTAGGTGGAACCACATACCACCTGCTACCTAAAGGAATGATACACCAGGGCTGGTGTATCAGTGTCCACTTAAAAAGCATTTCACATTCAGAAAACAGCTTTCCAATCTTCACAACACCCAAAGAGATGGATTAGCATTTCAGCTGCATTAGTAATAAGGAAGAAAGAATACCCCCTAAACATTCACTTTTAACATATTCATAGCATCCTTGTGTTACTTTCTGGGGAAGCTCTATGAGACAAATTTGCTGGAAGGCATAGTTGCTTAAATAATGAATTTTAACCAGCAATGACAAATAGTCATGTAAGGCAAGTTTCAAATTCATATTCTGAATGCACTATAGGCCAATAACATTATTTACTGAAAGTATTTGGTGAATAATTTGGAACAACAAATAAATTTGAACAAAATGCAATCCATTTGTAGACTATCTGCAAACAGAGAGACAACATCTGTTTAATAAGGAGCCACATAATGAATTATTCACTCAGCCCTAGAAAACACTACTATCTCCAGGTTGCAGATGATGAAAGAGACACAGAGAGCCAAACAGTGACCTCAGTTACACAGGCCTATAAATTGTCACTGTGAAGTAAATACAAAGCCCTGGACTATGCCAGGGAAAATAAGAGCAAGGAGCCAGAGAGGCCTATATTTTTATCCTCCCTGTTTAGCTATCCCTAGAAGTTAGGGAATTCCCCTAACACAACAGGTGTATGTCCCAAGTAGGCTGGATGCTTGCTTGGGAGCCAGGAATAAGCACCATCAGCCCAAGCAGTGTCTTTGCAAGCAGCCTCAGGTGATGGCCAGGCTCAGCACACACTGGACTCTGCCCTGTCTGTGACAGGCAGGCACATGGCACCAACACTGCAGGGAACCTGCTGCCTCATGCCCCCACCAGCAGCCAAGAGGAAGAGGAAAGCCAGTGGCAGCTGTGACCCCTGCACAGAGTTATTTCCTGGGGAGGCTAGAGGGCAAGGCAGAGAGGAGTATCTCATGCAGCATGGCAGCCCCAGAGTCCTCTGCTGTCACCACTCCTGGCCTGACAGCCCAGTGATGTGCATCTGGGGATTCAGAGTCACTTCTGCTTGTCAGAATTTCGCACAAGCTGGCAGAAAGTAAAAAATGTCCATTTCTGGACTGAACTTTTCCTTCTCAGCCACGGCAAAGTGACGGCAGGGTCTGACACAAGCACTGTTTGTGGCACTGAGCTGCAGGAGATGTCATGGCTTTTGAACAACCATATCAAAGAGGTTTGTCAGCTGACCACAACTGCTGCAGCACATGTCACTGCTCTACTGACAAACCATTTTGAGATAAACCTGAGCTTAATGTATTTTGCATGATTTTACAGAGCATCATGTATTAAACACACTAAACACAGATATTGAAGCTGGTCTAAACATTTACATCTTTATGTCAAACATCATGTTTAGACTATTAAAAATAATAAAGAGTTTTCAAGGGTAAAACTCTTGGGGTATTTGTAGTTTCTCCCACAATTGGGGTCAGAATTTGGTCTTCTCAAAACTCAGCATGAAACCTCTGTTAATCTGGTAGGACCAGGCACAGTGCAAAACCACAACAGAGCCTCCTCCCTTGTGCACCCTGTGGATTGGGAATCTGCAGACAAGGGGGGTGAGACATATCCACTCCTTGTACATGCTCTGAAGATCTGCCTGAGCGATGATCCCCCTGCCAGTGCCCTCTGCAGCTGGGTCAGTGAATACCTAAGAAGGCGTGGAAGTTTGCTCTGATCATAAAGAACAAGGAGCCAATTTATATAAATAATAAAATTAAACATGTTTTGTACAAACACAGTCATTCTCCTTTCTGGCCCATCAGGCACAGACAGTTCAATACTGTCCAAAATGCTCTTATGGTAATGGAAGCAATGACTCCAGTGCCATGCAAAGGAGCCATTAATCAAGGGGGAGTACTCTCACACATATATTATGACCATACATTGTGAAAGTATATCATACACAAGAACTTAATGAGGATTTAGCCTCATTAGATAAACAATGTTGAACTGACAATGTTGTGTTTACTCTTCTGCTTACAGCTATTCTCCTTCCCGTTTATACGTCTTTGGTTCCATACTTCTAAAATATGCAAAAAACACTAAACCAGTAAAAAAGTCACCAAAGAAGCTCTCCAAGTAGGCTGAAGAATACATAAGAAGTCTTCCTGAGGTGGAGTAAATTTTGCTATTTCAAAATAATGACCATTATTTAAATTTCTGCTTCACAAAAGCAACTCAAATTAAAAATGGTGAAAAAGCTCATGCCATCAATACAAGTCTCACTTCTATTGTGGCACTCACTGCCACATACAACAGCCTCTGTCCAAATATTAGACACCCATGGGCTACCATCAGGGTGCCCACAGGCTAAAGGTGTGCCTCCTGGGAATTGTCCCCAGCCTGGGCCCATCAATGGCGTTATCCTTTACTGCAATGAAGAGCTGAAATTCTTTGCTGTGAGGGTGGTGAGGCACTGTCACAGGCTGCACAAAGAGGCCATGGATGCCCCAACCTTGGCAATGTTCATAGCCGGGTTAGATAAGGCCTTGAGCAACCCAGTCTAGTGGGAGGTGTCCCTCTGGCAAGGGGATTGGGATTCGAGGGTCTTTAAGGTCCCTTCAACCCCTGAGCATGCTACCATTCTACCAGTGCCGTCACTGAATCCACCAGCAGAAATGTCACTTCCATGTCTGCCCCTGTGATTTTGTGCAGTTACCTTGGGTACACAGCAGAAACACTTCCAGTGAATCCACCCTCTGCTCCCAGGCCAGCCATGCTGGCCTCGTGCAGGGCTCAGGAGCAGCCACCTCATCCGGATCCTTTCCTCCAGCTACTCCAAAAAAAACTGCTTACACAGGAAGCTCTTCCTTCCTTCCTTCTGGTCATGGATGGAAACCAAAATCTTACTACAGTGATGAACAGTTGTGAGAAAAAACCTCAACTTCAAGCCAAATACATTTCTAATGCTCATAAGCTTCACATTTGAAGCACTTTGGATGAGCTGGATAAAGCTTATCTCGACTAGTATATACTACTAGTACTACTATTTTAGAGCAAATTTCAAAACTGATTCAAATTTAAAATTAGATTAAAATACTAGTGATTGAAAACAGTTTTAATCTTAAATACTGATGAATGGAATATCTGAAAGGATTTCTGTTAGAAATCTTTCTTTTAGAATTTTAATAATATTTTGAATTTAATCTTTTTTTTTTAGATGTTGCTGCTGTATCAAGGCATGCAGGTAGTCACAGTTACTTGCAGATCCTGAAACAACATGCAAATTCACTGATACAATCCACATGCAATAATACAGGAATACATTCAAGGGAAAACAGATGGTTAATTTCATCTTTATGAGTTTGTAGTTTGGAAAATCAAACTACATATACTACATTTTCTGTACTACTCTTAACGAGAGAGCACAAGCCAATGAAAGGAGATAAGCATTTCACTATTTTACTCCTAAATCTCTATGGGTAACAGCCTAGGAGGTACTGACTGAAGGGCCACTTATTTTCCAGGTTGATGTGTCTCCCATTTCATGAAACAAGTGAAACTTGTTGATGAAATGCCAGCTGTCACTACTAAAATGTCACAATATAAGAAAAGAGGAGTAAAAAAAGCTCAAGAAAAACAATTCAAATTAATTATAAATTGAAGTTTTCTGAAAAAAACACACTTTCCAGAAATTCCTCTGAATTTCTTCTGTTTGAAACATTATTTGTGTTCACCAATTCACAAGAAAAACTCCCTATGAATTTTATTAAAATAGCATTTTATCATTGTAATAGCTGTTTTCAAAGGAAAAAAGCTTGTCCACTCCAAGAGGTGAAACAAAGTGTAGAACAGCCCATTCACTCTTTCACTGAAATATTGGTGAAATTCTTATTTATTAAACAATAAACAGTGATAAGGTCTTTTGCTTCCCTTATTTTACAGACTGAAAGTTATGCAAACACCACAGTGGAAGGAAGACAATGTGACAAACTGAAAAGGTCAGGAAATTCTAAATGAAAAAAATATGCCATCTTTAAATTTCTTTGAAGCCTTTTCCAGCTCCCACTGCCCAGCTGCAGTACGTAAGAGAGCAAGAATGTCGCAGCCACAACAACTACAAAGGACAAGGACTCAAAGCTGGAAAATCTCAGCCAGCCTGTCCTGGTTCTGCACCCGGAGCAGCAACATCCACACACTGAAAATCTTGATAGTCATTTCTCTGAATGATCCTGCAGCAGAGATGGCAGGTAACATGGCCCTAGAGAGGTACCATGGTTTTGGATTCAAACCACAGGGCACAAATCCTTGGAGA